AAACGAACATGGTTTTTGCTTATAGATTGGCTTGGGTATTCCGCCAATGGAGCGGCTCATAGATCGTCCAAAGTGGCATTGTACTGTGTTCTCAGGTCTCTTAATTTTGTTTGAGGAGCCTCTAGACTTGATCAATTCCACACATCCTCTTTGAAGATTGTAATGTAATTCTTCTTAATTTCTCAATAAAAATGGCTAATATCGTTTCTCTAAAAAAATAAAAACAAAACCGACTTGATTTTTACTTGCATGCAATCAAACTCCTTCCTGTTTCCTTTTTGTTCCTAATTTCTTTCATAACTCTGGGTTTTACATAACCTAGAGATCAACTACGTATCTCAGCTAGCTACTAGCCCGAAAACGGCAATAAATCCAGTAATCTAGTACGGTATTATCGTAAGATCAAACCTTTGCTTTTGTAATAAATAAATAAATAATTAGTTCCCATGCACAGTAATTCAGGACTGAGGCCTCATCAAAAAGCATGCATGCAAAAGGTGAAACAAAATCTCCGGCACAGGCTGCTATCTGTATTCTGCATATTTTACATTTACACACCGACAGAAATTTTAACTGACTATATTTTATACCATATATGCAAAAGATGAATAAACCAATGGATATTATCTGAATCCCCAGCAACCCAAATCTTCAGCAAGTGGTCATTTACCACAGTGGTGAAAATATGTTGCTTCTTTGCATAACTGCGTGAGTTTGAACTTCGTCCATAGTTAATCTAACATCTAACATCTATTGCTCAACTCAAACAAAAACAAAAAAAAAAAAAAAAAAAAAGCTAGGGAACATATTAGTTACTTAAAAATTATCTGTAGTTTTAGCCGAACAAAATCACAGAAATTAATACAGAGCCTCTCTCTCTCTCTCTCTCTCTCTCTCTCTCTCTCCCCTCTTCTGGAGCGGACTGAAAATGTCGTGCTTAACAGAACACTCTGTAAAAGCCTGCTCACTCTGTTCATCTCTTCATATATGCCTCAGAAAACTTGTTCCTTTCTCTCTCCTCCATAAAAACCCCTTTACCCCCTCATAGCAAAAACTCGCTCTCTAACTTTCTTCACCATCCAAATATCGAACACTTTCTTCACACTCCAAAACCAAACCAAAACCAAATATTCAAAAACCCAGCTCAGCCAGTTTGATTTGAACACCCAAATGCCGTCGGACTCAGGCGATCAGCAGAAGAAGAGCAGCCAGAACCGGAAGACGGTGAAAGACGCCCAGGCCACGGGGACACCACCGCCGGAGCAAGAGCACCTGCCCTGCCCACGCTGCGACTCCACCAACACCAAGTTCTGCTACTACAACAACTACAACTTCTCCCAGCCCCGCCATTTCTGCAAGTCCTGCCGCCGCTACTGGACCCACGGCGGCACCCTCCGCGACATCCCAGTAGGCGGCGGAACCCGCAAAAACGCCAAGCGCTCCCGCACCGCCACCTCCGCCGCCACAACCACCGCCACTTCTGACAACAACCAAATTTCCGCCACCCCTGTTTTTCTGAACCCAGGTGGTGGAGCGGCCTTACAGTTCGGTGATTTGAAGGGTAACATGGGAAATGGATGCGGTGGCGATGGGAGCTTCAATTCTCTGCTCAACACCCACGGCCCTGGTGGGTTTTTGGCTTTGGGCGGGTTCGGGCTTGGGCTTTCAGGTGGGATCGAGGAGATGGGCTTTGGGCTTGGGAGAGCTTTTCGGCCTTTTCCAGCGATGGGAGGAGATTGTGGTTTCGGTGGACCCCACGGCGGGACGATGAACACGTGGCAGATCGAGAACGGAGAGGGTGGTGGGTTTGTGAACGTGGGTGTTAGCCCTGTCGGAGCAGAGTTATGTTCTTGGCCGGAGTTGGCAATTTCTACTCCTGGACTCAAGTGAAAAAAAAAAAAATCTGTGTCTTTTGAGTCTCTTTGTAATTCTCTACTCTTTTTGGTTTGTAATGGGGAATGTTGTGTTTTAGTGCTCCAGGGTTTTTAATGTTAGTGTTGAGGCCTTGAGTCTAATTTAAAGTTACCAGTTAAATTTCTATATGTCCGAGAACTACCGCCTAAATTGAAGTAAATTGTATTTTGGTCCATGCTTCTAGCTTGTTATATGATTTTTGAGCATTTGAAGAATATGAGTGCTTTATGACTCCATTGTAAACACATCCAACACTCATATCACCATCATGATGTCGTCAATGCGTTTTAAAAAGTTACTTGTAAGCGCTAGAATTAATCGGTGTTAAGTAAATATATGCAAGAACGAAATGTTGAACAAAAAGGAAAGGAAATGATGAAAATTAATCTAACCCAAATTAATTTAGTGTTATCCTAGTTGAGAAAAGATTGATTTTATTACTCTTTTTTTTTTTTTAACAAAAAGGGGGATAATTGATGGCAAGTCATGGTTATCCTTATCCACCTCTTTTGAACCCAGAGAGGCTACCGGGAATTTGATCTTGCCCGTGGCTACAGTCAAACAAACTCACTAACTCGAAGTATCGAACTCGGAATCTAACAAAGTATTAAAACAAGAGAAATGCTTTTGTTTAAATCAATAAGAGAAAACTATAACCATTTGATAACCTATTTCTCTTTTAATTTTTCATTTGTACTTTCATTTTTCTAAAACGGAAAGTAATTACCAAACGATTTTTAAAAATATGAAAACTGAAAGTAACGTTCCTTATTGTCAGACTCAGATGGAATTGCAAGCTGCATTTTCCCTCTCTATTTCTTTGAATTGAATTAAATTGATTGACCCTACAAAGGAGCAGCATGCGTGGTAAGTTTCAATTGATTCATTTCCACATCAAACATCTTTCTTTAGCTGAACCTTACCTAAGAAAATAATGAAAGAATATTGGTGCTAAAAATTAGAGAGAAAGTCCATGCAATTTGAAGATGTTATGAGCTACTAATTCCAGAGAAAAAAAAAAAAAAACAACTCACAGTTCTTCATCTACTACTTTGCAGTAGCTTTTATGCTTCTTGTTACTGATTTCCAAAGCTACGCTGGTAAGTACTTCCTCTCTTATATATCATTTTTCGTGTAAAAACAACGAACATACACACATGTTATTACAAAGCTATGTCATATTTAGTGTCACTTTGCAGGAGCTCAAGGGGATGGAGTTAACTATATCAGACAAGCTGACAACCTTCCAACACCGGAAGTGATCAAGGTATGTAAGTCTAGGAACATTCAGAGATTCGTTTACTCAAACCACAATAAGATGTTCTGCAGGCACTGAAAGGATCAGGAATACAAGTCATTTTAGGCACACTCGACGCAGATGTCCCAACCCTAGTCAATGGTCCAGCTTTCGCTAACATTTGGCTCTAAACCAACGTCATTCCCTTTGCTTCATCCGCGAAATTTCGCTGTATATCCGTTGGAAATGAAATGGTTCCAAGTAAAATGCTAGCAGCATGGTCCCAGCCATGCAAAACTTCAGAAATGCCCTAATTACAGCCAACCTCAGTATTCCTCTATCCCCTGCAGTGTTCCAAAATGTACTGACATCACTGTATCCGCCATCAGCCGGAACATGGCATCCTGATGCAGCCTCAATAGTGGTTCCTCTAGTACAATATTTGCAAACCAATGGTCACCCCCTTCTCTTCAACGCGTATCCATGTTTCGCATACCGCGATCATCAGCAAGAGATTAGGTTAGACTATGCATTGATAAATGCACAGAGGTTATTGTACAAGATGGAGCATTAGGGTACACAAATTTGCTTGATGCTTCACTAGATGCCCTTTACCAGGCACTTGAGAAAGTGGGGCACAAAAGTTGAGGTTGTTGTGATCAGCGAAACACGTTGGCCTTCACAAGGAGAAGGAGAAGAGCCTGCAAATATTGAGAATGCTAAGACATATAATACCAATCTGATCAAGCATGGGCAAGTTGGGACACCAAAAAGACCGGGAAAGGGATTAGAGGCTTACATTTTGGCTTTGTTCAATGAGGATCTTAAGCCTAAGGGAAGTGAGCAGCAATGGGGATTGTTTTATCCTGACATGACTGAGGTTTACCATGCTGACTTTAGGGAAAGTAATATTTGTTGGTAATGTATCATTAGGAATAAAGAATTGTTACCGTGCTAATAGATATATTGGTAAATTTTATTGTTATTAACTAAGTTAATTATGAATTATATATTATTTGTTAACTAGAAAATGGCCGAAGTACAAAGTCTTGCGAATAAGCCCATTACTCTATTGTGTAATGAGTTTGCCTATTGTCGTACTATACACATTGTTTTTAAATGACGTCGCTTTTTCATTACATAATTTTATGAGGTACAAAGTTTTGATGTCAAATTGGAGTAATTCTCGTGTCCACTCACTAGATCACGTCATACATCCACACATAATCTAAGCATTTTCTTGTGTAATGGACTATCAATTTGATTAACTTACCAATCAAGAGTAATACGGTAATCAAAACTACATATTAATAAAATATTGTTTGTCAAAAAAAAAAGAGTAAAATTACTACCATACCCTTTTAATACAAAACTAAAAGAAGATATTAGAAAAGAAAATAATGTGGTATTAAAGACATTTTGTACAAACAAGCTTTTACTGTTTTTTTTTTTTTTTTCTAAACCTCGGAGCTATATCATTTTATTACTACCCTCTCAACTCATTCACTCTCTTTCCTAATTGCCAACCCCTATTTTTTGGGGATGCCTATCAACTTGGTAAAAACAAATAACTCCTCTCATAAAAAAATTAAAATACAAATATTTAAAAAATATAAAAAATATATTTCTCAACATAAAAAATGTGTGACCTTTACTAATTACGTATTAATTTAACTTAGCGATGGTGTGCCCCTCCTAAAATAACTACTTTCTACTTCTTTTCCATTTCCTCTAGTAAAACATAAACACTATTTATAAGGTGTGACGAGAAAAATCGGATGGAAAAAATAAAAGATTTCATTCAATTTATTCGTCCAAGTCCACACTGAAGTACAAGGGCGGGTTTTTTCCAGTTGCCCTTTTTCCCTCGCTAGGGTTTTGAAACAGGGGTCTCTTCGTCCTCCCCAATTTTCGAACCTCAATCCCAAAACCAGCCCACAGTAACCACAACAATGGCGTTCGCGTCGTTGTTCTCTACGCCGCAGCCACAACAGCAGCAGCAGCAGCAATCGCCGTTTCAAACTCAACAGCCCTCACAGCCCTTTCTGCAAAGCAGCTCTTTCTTCTCCCAACAACCACCGCAGCAGCAGCAGCAACAGACGCCGCTGTTTCAACAGCCGCAATTCCAGCAGCAGCAGCCGCTGTTTCAACAGCCGCAATTTCAGCAACAGCAGCAGCAACAACCGCAGCAGCAGCAGCCACAACAGCAATTGTATTTGTTTACCAATGACAAGACTCCGGCGAGTTATGGTACCAAGTGGGCGGATCTCCATCCGGATTCCCAGAAAATTCTTCTGCAGATTGAGTAAGTTTTCTTTAATTTTTGCGAAGAAATTTTTAGCCTGTTATCGGTTTTTCGTTGTGATTTTTTGGGGTGTTTGGCCTGATTGGTTACTGAGAAAATGTAGGAAAATAAAGCGAAATTTTGAGTCTTTTTCGTTGTGTAAAGTAGTATTATGCAAAATTACTGCTTTAGATTCTGTATAGTGAATTCTTTTTTTTTTTGTCCGATATTTGTTGGGTTTTAATTAAAGTTCAAAACTTGGGTTTAGTTGGTATTTAATTCCAAGTGTAATAGTTCAGAACTTGGGTTTATTTTTTCACTCTTATAATTATGAGCTGACCTGAGATAACCTATATGGTTTTTGAGGATCTGTTCTGAACTATTGTTTGCTCGCAGGGAACGGATACTGGGGTATAGGGATGAAAGCCAGCGGCTGGATCAGTGTAGTCGTCTCTACGATTCCTCCATTTCCAATGATGCTTTCGAGCATGACGCAAGTCGTATTCTTCAGGTTTGTCTCTTGGACAGATCAAATTTTCTCATTGCGATTACTGTTTTTTTTTTTTCTGGTTGCAATCTTGTTATTATGAGTTGGTCATTGTAAGCAAATTGCTTTTGTTTTAGTGGATTTTGTACTCTGGTGTATATACTGTTATACTATATAGTTTACACTGTGGGGCTCTGATGTAATGGCATGTTTTTGTACTGAAATGGAAATGGAAGGATGTTAATTTTTCCCAGTCCTCCGCAGTCCAATATCTACTTACAGGAGTATGTTTTTTTTGGCAGTTTGATTATCTTGTATGTACATTATTTTTATAACAGTTGAAAAGTATTTAACTTGCGAGATCTTATGCTCAATTCTGAATGACTTCGTACCTTTACAATAGAAGTGCATTGCATAGTACTGATAGGTAAAAGGGTTGACTGTACCTCATCGTTTGTCTGATGTAAAGACTTAAATGCTACCCATGAATCTAAATAAATTAGAAAGGTCTGGCACAAGTTCTAGAATTTTCAATGCCATTTTCTTTGTGATTGTGTCAATCAGTGCTTTTGCATGCCTTATATTTCTAGTTGTCAATGTATGGTATGATTCAATTTCTTATGTTATCTATACAGGAACTTGGGGGAATTGGTACTTCCATGGACCGACAGAAAGCTCTTTTGCAGGAGTTGATGGCTATTGTGAAAGACATGTTGCGGAACAGCGAGGTTGCTGTTCGTTCTTTTATGATTTTACGCCCAAGGTTTCTTCATCTGAATGCAGGAAGTACTTCAAATGCCACTGCCCCATCACAAGCTCCTGGAGCAACAGTACCACCAGGTTCAAGTAGTCAACTAACAACTAGTTCTATAGTGCCAGTTTTTGATTTCTACAACGGGATTCCGAGGAAACCATCTCCGTTCCTACAGCAAACAATTGCAAGATTTGAGAAGTATCTTGTTGAGTGTCGCCAGTGGATTGAGGAATTAGAGCAGCTGCTTCTAGACTCTGAGAGGAACCCAGTCAATGATAGATCCTCGTTGTTGCAGTCTCTTCCAAAAGTCATGTCAAATGTGCATGATTTTTTCGTTCACGTGGCAGCTAAGGTGAACAAAATTGATGATGTTTTTTTAGTTAACATTATTCATACAATTATGCAGTAAAGTGTACTTCATTATGCTAAAACTAGCATTTGGTTGGTGTATATATGACAGAGATGATTCCTTCCATAATTTATTGTTCTTATATTTTAACTTCTTGTAAAAAAATCATTTTCATATCTCGTGTTTGTGGATGGAGAAAGATTTGCATGACCTGAATCTAAATTCTTGTTATTTGATATCAAATACAACTTGAGAACAAGGGTATTTTTGGAGTACCAATTTACTTGCATAAATGGTAATTTTTTTAGTACTTTGTATCATTTGAATGGTTTCAAAGTAAAATAAACAATGAAGCTATAAAAAAGGTCATTAGAGTTCTCATTTGTTTAATGCATGTGCCCTTGAGTTTATATATATATATATATATATATATATATTATGGTTTTCCCTCCCCTCAACTACATGCTTATGTGTGCACAAATGAAGCAGCATTCTGTTTCTTTGCATGTATGATTACTAATCAATGATATAATGTGTTTTTTAGGTGGAGAGTATTCATCAGTACGTTGTGTCCATGAAAACAGCTTATCTTGTTAATGAGCGCCGCCAAGGGTATGGGAACGATCCATTTCTCGAGGCTGATCGGCGGGAAACAGCTAGGCAAGAAGCTGCTGCTAAGAGGGTGCATCCAACTTTGCATTTACCTGCAACGTTGCAACCATCAACACAAGTTGCTGGATTGTTTGCTAGTTCAGGAACCCCTGGGACATCTACCACCCCACAGACGTCTGCTGCAGCTACCATTACAGCTTCATCTGGGAGTGGACTTTTCAGTACCCCTTCTGCTTCATCTGCTCCAGTGTCTTCCTCTCTATTTGCTACACCACCCACTACGGGTCCTGCATCTTCTCTTTTTGCAACGCCATTTTCTACGCCCCAGGCATCACTGTTTAGTTCTTCATCAGCATTTGGACCTGCTTCAACTCCCTCTCTGTTTCCCAATCCTGCTCCAGGCTTTGGTTCTACTCCAACTATTGGAAGTTCATTATTTACTTCAGGTTTCTTCTGATTCTGCTTAAACCTACTTCAGGATTTCTACATTTAACTAAAAAAATTTGGTATTTCTTATCATTCTCTAATTTGAGAACGGAAAGATGGTTTTGAGGCATTGAATGTGTTAAATGGAAATCTCTCTTTATGATAGTGTATGCTAGAACCAATGCATGCAGAAGTCTTCTGCTATAAAAGTTTATGATTTTACTTCCCAAGATTGTCATGGTTCTATTTTTTTTTTTTTTTTTTTTGTGGGCGGTTCAAAACTTACCAAGGAGCATTTTGTTTGGCATTACTGGTTGAAATAGCATTATGCATAAGCAGTGTCCATGACAGCATGTATGTCCCTGGTTTGTTATTGTAAATTTATTAGTGGCCGCCATGTGGTTCTCCACTGTTCGCTCTGTTTTGAGCTATACAGTTTGGGAGATTTTATTGTTAGCCCAGTAGTTTATGTAGACTGAGGATTGGTATCCATACTGTATTTGGACTTGTTCTCGTTAAGATGACATAGATGTAAATGAGTTGTCCTTAAAGATCATTTACAACGTAACCATGAAAACTTTGATATAATTCACGTACACAATTATACAATGTTGTATGTTACCAGAAAAGATTCTACAATGTTGTAAATATGTAAAATGTACATCTTGTATCTTGACGTAACTCAATTAACTCTACTGGTAATATTGGTTGGCACATATGTGAATCTTTTATCGTAATTTAGGCTTGATTGTCCAATACTTTTATCACTTTACAGGTAGTGCTGGATCAGGGCTGAATTCTAGCTTTACTGCAATGGTGAGTGAATTTTCTTTCAGCTCTCTTATTTCGGTCACGTTGCACTTGATATAACTCAAATTTTGCTCCGTAAACAAACATGGGCTTCAAAGATTACGAAGCTAATACTAATCAAGTTATTTAGTTATTGTTTTCATGGAGAATAGCTCTATAATGCAGAGATGGGATTAATTTTCCATCTCTAGTAATATAGTTTACTTGATATGCAGTATACATCTGCTGAATATTTTCTTCCCTGTATTCTAACAATTGCAGAAATCAGCAAAGCCGAAAAGTCGAAGTAGCCGCCGTTAGCTACAGCTACGGCTGTTTCAGGGTCAAGAAATCTGGAGGAAAGCAGCAAAGTATGTGTTTTTTAAGTGTCAACAATTGTTCTCTTTGCTCAACGCGACTTGCGTGCGGCTTCTTTTGCTGTGGAGTTGATGGATCTCCAAAAAGTTTCACTGAATCCATGTCCCAAGAGGATCAAAATTTCGTTCGGAATGCTACTCCGGCATGTCATCTGAATACTCGCCTTCTAGCTGCAGTTGTCTTTTCCTGTTGGTAGCTGACATGCCGTTGCTGTTTTGTGACGTTGCAACGTGAGGTTAAAACATCCGTCCGGCTCACAGAAAAATTTAGGGAAGAATTTAGGTCCCATTTTTCTGAAATGTGTTGACAGGAAAAATTGCAGAGTTTAATCCTTTGTCATGGAGAGACGGTGTTTACTGGTGGTGTCAAATGAACATACCAAAAACGTTGTATTTGTTTCGATTACCCAAACTCTAATCTACGGTTAAAGTAGTGTGCTCTATCCTCTGCACCTAAGTTGATATCTTTTTCGTAATTTAGATGAATTTAATGTAATTATTCTGTCGTGGTCAAAAAGAACCGTAATGCCAAATAGTGCATCAGACGACCATATTGATTTTGTTCACTCTTGATATAACAAACAAGTGATTTGTTTATTAATTCCCGTCCAAGCTCATGTAATAGCGACCATATTGTTACTCATTATTACAATTTGTCGATCGTAGGGCCGTCTTTGAGATGGCAACGCAACGTCACGCAACGCATGTGACTAATCACTTGATTTGACATGATACAACCAAGTAATTTGCCCATGCGAAGTACTTATCATGTTTTTACGAAAGAAATGCTAAAAACTCAATTTATGCGGATGAGCTTCCTTGTCATTAGTGCACATTTTCATCGAGGATGGATTTCCTTGTCTACAAAAGCTCGACTTTTGGTCTTGTATTTCGGAATTGGCTTTGGAACAAAATGGTTTCATGTTCTTTTATTGATTGGTTATTCTTCTTCGTTCGTGTCCTCCTTTTACTTAGAACTCGTTTAGAAGTGCTTTTAAAATAATTGAAAGCATTTTTGAACATACCAAAAACGTTGTATTTGTTTCGATTATCCAAACTCTAATCTACGGTTAAAGTAGTGTGCTCTATCCTCTGCACCTAAGTTCGTATATTTTTCGTAATTTAGATGAATTTAATGTAATTATTCTATCGTTGTCAAAAAGAACCGTAATGCCAAATAGTGCATCAGACGACCATATTGATTTTGTTCACTCTTGATATAACAAACAAGTGATTTTGTTTATTAATTCCCCGTCCAAGCTCATGTAATAGCGACCATATTGTTACTCATTATTACAATTTCTCGATCGTAGGGCCGTCTTTGAGATGGCAACGTAACGTCACGCAACGCATGTGACTAATCACTTGATTTGACATGATACAACCAAGTAATTTGCCCATGCGAAGTACTTATCATGTTTTTACGAAAGAAATGCTAAAAACTCAATTTATGCGGATGAGCTTCCTTGTCATTAGTGCACATTTTCAACGAGGATGGATTTCCTTGTCTACAAAAGCTCGACTTTTGGTCTTGTATTTCGGAATTGGCTTTGGAACAGAATGGTTTCATGTTCTTTTATTGATTGGTTATTCTTTTTCGTTCGTGTCCTCCTTTTACTTAGAACTCGTTTAGAAGTGCTTTTAAAATAATTGAAAGTATTTTTGAACATACCAAAAGCGTTGTATTTGTTTCGATTACCCAAACTCTAATCTACGATTAAAGTAGTGTGCTCTATCCTCTGCACCTAAATTCATATCTTTTTCGTAATTTGGATGAATTTAATGTAATTATTCTATCGTTGTCAAAAAGAACCGTAATGCCAAATAGTGCATCAGACGACCATATTGATTTTGTTCACTCTTGATATAACAAACAAGTGATTTTGTTTATTAATTCCCCGTCCAAGCTCATGTAATAGCGACCATATTGTTACTAATTTGCCCATGCGAAGTACTTATCATGTTTTTACGAAAGAAATGCTAAAAACTCAATTTATGCGGATGAGCATTGGCATCATTTAAGAATCAAAAGATGAGCGTTGGCACATGGGTCGTTAGGCCCCCTCTTCATTGGTGCACATTTTCAACGAGGATGGACTTCCTTGACTACAAAAGCTCGACTTTTGGTCTTGTATTTCGGAATTGGCTTTAGAAAAAAATGGTTTCATGTTCTTTCGTCGATTGGTTATTCCTCTTCGTTCGTGTCCTCCTTTTACTTAGGATGGTTTAGAAGTACTTTTAAAATAATTGAAAGCATTTTTTAAGAGAGTGCTTTAGAATCAATTCTTAGTAAAAAGATGCAAGTGAATCTTGAAACAACACTTGAAGCGTTTCCTGCAATAAACATATATCTAGTGCTTCTTGTAGAAAGCACTTCAAGTGCTTTTGGAACCCAAAAACACACTCAACAAAAGCGCTTTCGGAACCCAAAAACACTCACCAAAAGTGATTTCGGAACCCAAAAACATTCTTATCAAAAGTATTTTTAGTCATTTTAAAAATATTTTCAAGTAAAACGTTAATATTTTTTAGTGTTTTTGGGGTAATGTTCTTGCACAAGTTGCAGCGTCCTGTTCTCTTATTCCCCATAACACTCCTTTGCTTGTTAATGCATTTCCAGTTTACCGAAAGGAAAAAAAAACCCAATTTTCTGCTGATGACCAGGAGCAAAAAGCAGAGTGCTTTATGGCTTCCCCATAAATTGACTAAGAAGATGAAGACGGCCACGTTTCCTCATCCCCGCCGTATTGGTGGAGGGATTTTTCGGTGTACCCGGTACACCAAAAAAATTTGGTGTACCCTCACTCATAATGGTGAGGGTGCACCAAAAAAATTTGGTGTACCCTCACTTTTTGTACACCAAAAAAATTCTAATGAGTGAGGGTACACCAAAAAAATTTGGTGTACCCGGTACACCTAAAAATTTTCCGTATTGGTGAGAGTAAACTGACTTTTTTGCTATTAGAATTTTCTCGCGTGAACATTATGTGACCAACATGAACGGAATATTAGATAAAAAATAAAAAATTTCATGGCATGAGGAAATTTAGCTAATTATAAAAAATTAGGGAAGGTAATTCATTAAAATTAAAGTTAAGCAGAGAAATTGTGTTATAAGAAGCAAACTCAAGGTGTCTAATTTCTATATATAAAATCAAACTCACCTAAATTACTGTGAAAGGTCTTGTATGAAATATTAGACCGAAAATGTATATAAAGTAGAATCCGAACCTAACACCCACACAGCCGACTAATGAGCAGATAGGTTTTGACAAAAAAAAAAAAAGAGAGAGCAGATAAGTCGTGGGGTGCCTATTTCCTAAACGAGTGCAAATAAAATGATGTGTCACTAATAAAAAATAAATATGTTAATCAACATTTAAGTAATAATCAAATCATCAACTTTTATGTCATTTAGTTTACAAAATCCAATCAACAAATTTAGTCTCTTTAGTATTATCATTCCTAAATTATGTGGTGAAACGATTTTGTCGGTACCACTCAGTTTGAAGACTATAAACCAGCCGCATGACTAAAATAAAATTTTGCTGTAACGCATTTCTGTTCAACCCATTATGTTCCTAGTTCAAACTCTTTCTCCTCTAGTGTAGCTTAGAGTAGTAATGTCGTTCCTAATTAAAAATTTTGAAATTTCACCAAATTTCATAAATTTGTGTTGTCCATCTTTATAAATTTGTGATCCTTTGGTGTAGCGTAGCGAGCTTTTAATGAAAAAAATTTGTACTTTCGCCAAATTTCACAAATTTGTGTTGTCTTTTATAGGATAGTGTTATTCACACACATTTTTACATCCCACACACTCTTGTTAATTTTTATTCATTTATCTTCTTCAATTCATTTAATTAAATTGTCGAAAATTAAGAGGAGAGGGTGGATAGCACCACCCTTAATAAACTAGACTAGTCCTAATATTGGCTAAATGAACTTCTTCCCGTCTTAATGATATAAATATGATATATATATATATATATTCTTATGTTTGATAAAATTAATATATTTTCTTATGTTGTAAGAAAATGAATTTGCATCACACATATAAAGAAAATCAACTTATCATTTTGATCCACAGTTAGCTAAGATAAGGGTAACATATTATTCCGTTAGAACAAATTTTTGAAAGTAATTTTTACACTTTTCTTTTCTCCTCTTTCACTATTACATTTTCGTCTGTCATTTAAATTAAATATATCAAAAAAAAATTAAAATACCAAATAAAGATAAAAAAAAAGAGAAAACGAGAGTGTTAATATGGCTTTCCTAGCTTTTTCGTTTGCAAAAAGTAAAGAAAGCTTTTTTTGTCTAATCTAGGAAAATGTTAGGTCTTCAAAAGTAGCTTGAATAAAATGAAAGTCATTACAATTATTATATTATTATTTTGTAAAATAATAATAAATATAATAATAATAATAATTTTACAAAACAATAATATAATAAATTAAGTGCATCTGATGATGTCCAATTCTTCAAAGGATCTGGAACTTGCTAAGTGCTTAGTGAGGACAAGTTCTGTCTTTCTTGAAGACTTGTCAAAGATGAAGAATTTCTCAAACGGCGGATTTGGGTCGGTCCCTCGAGTTTATGTCGTCTGTAATGAAAGATAAAAGGGTTATCCACTCCGGAAAAGGATCCTCACCGAATTTTTTTCTTGAAGATTTTGAAGATTTTGTGATCGTGATCTTTCATTGTATATCATACGGTCAGTTTTCATTAGATACTATTTATTAAGGTTCTAAAAGATGCTAGACACTAGTTGGGCGGCGGGTTAGGGCCTAGCGCATAGGTGGGATCTTTAGAACAATGTTATTTATATTTAATTTTTAATTTTTAAATTTAAAATGATTTCTGATCGCATGATATATGATGAACAATTACGATCACGAGATTCCTGGAATCTCCAGGAAAATGATCCGGCAATGATCCTTTTCCATCAACTACCATGAGGGTAGCCTAGTATTGGGGAAAAATTTCAGGCCTGCACTTTATATGACACATTTTTGGGTTCGATTTCTAGTGTTAGTGAATCACATGCTAGTAGCCAGAGAAAGGTTAAAATGTTTTGTGAGTCTTTTTGATAAAAAAAAAAGGTAGACTACCGTGACGAAATCACCTGCTGATTCTCTTTTCCGAAAAAACAAAATAAAGGATTAGCAGGTGAATTTCAACAGTGAATATAGTGATAAAAAACAGTGGGGTTAAAAATGTGGTGGAGATTAAGGGTGCTGATCATATGCCAATGTTTTCCAAGCCCCGACAACTTTGCAATTCGCTTTTGGATATAGGAAAATAAGTATACCTAATTAAGTTGTACTTTAAGTAAAACACATGCCATATGCTATGCTATTTATTTATTTATTTTCGATAATGCTGGAAACGTCAAACTTGTTTATCAACTAATGTATTACCAAGTAATGTACAGTATCGTACTTGTTAAAAAGAACTGAGATCGAATCGTTAAAACCATATACACAGCCACTATTCATTTGAAATGTGAAAATTTTGGTTACATGCCTAGTAGAATACCAGTCATGAGTTTAGGGTTGTGAATTAAGAACATGAGAGATTGGAAAATGAAATTACCATAAAGCGAAGAGTGAGAGAGATCAAACTCTCAATATTGTTAGTTCATTCTCTCTAACTTATGCTTAAGATTGAGATCACAACATTCCGATGCCAACAACTCACACCCGTTGTCCATTTATACAAGTTTTTTTCTCTTTTATTGTAACCAAAAGCGTGAAAAATTTAGACCATGTCGTACAATAAATCAATCATAATAATTTGATATTAAACTCATTGTTTACAAAAATTGAATTTAACACGTAGTACTAAACCGCTCTGTGTACAAATTTAATAATTGAGAAGTTGACATGTTCGGTCTTGATCAATCATATTGGTTCTTACTAATTTAATTTAAAAATCAGACAAATTAATTTAAACATATGGAACAAATCGACATATGCCTATTTTGTCCAACTATCTGAGTCACGAAGCAATAACTTAGTGATGTGGGGGTTTCTAAGTCAATAATTGTGAGCAGACTGAATTTATTGGAAGAAGAAAACTAGAAGCCCTTGAAATTATGGCCCTATTGTTTGTCAAGTTTGGCAATCCGTTTGAATATTTGGATCCTCTCCTGAGCTAATGGAGAGGATTCTCCTGATCAAGCATTGTGGGTCGTTGGATTTTCATCTAACGACTATAATTATCATAACTTTAAAGGGACCACTATATTTGTAACCGTTGAATTTTTATCCAACGGCCCACAATGCTTGATCAAGAGGATCCTCTCTATTGGCTCATGAGAGGATCCAAATCCTTCGTTAGATATCAAATTCGTGTTTGACTTTTGTTTTTACGCTGTGTGGAAATACATGGAACAAAAGAATGAAGAGTAAATAAATGATGTGGAAGAGATGTCGGATAAATACACAAATTGAAACTTAAAAACTCAAAGCTTCGAACTATAAGGCCGTTTGATAATCATATTTTTACATTTAGTTCACATTTTTTTGGAAGGGTAGTGATTCTTGTATACCTTTCTTTACTTTGTGCATACCCTTTATGAATCTTGAACGTTAATTTTACTATTTGTTCAATCTAACGGCTACGAAACTAAATGGCTGTGTATAAGGTGAGAAATGATGCGTTAAAATCATTTCTCTTTTTGAAAACTGCAAACAAAAAATTATTTGGTAACTATTTTTCATTTTTAGTTCAAAAAAATACAAAAATAAAGGAGATCACATTTTTATACTACTTTTGTATGCAACATGGTGTGACCAACTAGCCTAGGCTAATTTAGCCCCATCTCTTGCCTGAGACACCTTAACACTTTTTAGCCTCTAACTCCTCTCACGATTAGAACAATAAAACATTTAAAATACTAAATTTTACAAATAATATCAAAGGATAATGCTATTCACATACTCATTTTTATCTACCACACACTGGTGTTAAATTTTAATCATTGATCTTCTTCAATTTATTAAAATGAATGGCCAAAAATTAAAAAATATATGTGAGAAGTAAAAATTAGTATATGACTAACACTATCCCGATCAAATTGGGAGCCAAATTTCGTCTTTAGCGCAAGGACTTTGAACCTACCATTACACATGCTCTGATGCAAATTGATATGGATTATTATCTATTATTTATTTAGGAAGCTTTATATATAGAAACGAAAACTTTAACTGTATTTCAAGAAATTCCAAGAGTTTTCAAACATATCAAGGAGAGACAAAAATATAAAACCAACTAAAGCCTAGCCAGCAAAACATAGAAACAATGTTTTAAAATACCAGTCATACTCCTAAGGGTTACGGTTGTTAGTAGAACCTAGCCCCCACATCTCCAACAAAATCAATATGTGCCATATGCTTAACCCATCATCGACTATTTTTGCAGAATCAGTTTTGAATACTTTTATTTATTCAAAACTGATTCTGCAAAATTATTTATTCAAGACTATTTGAATACTCTTTACATGAATCTTGGAGATCCTTAAATCATGTCTTAAATCATGTCTGTTTATAAGATAAAAATCACTCAAGAATCCAAATTTAACAACTTGGGGATTGAATCAAATAGCCAAATCCTTAACTGTATTAAATTCCTGCAGCAGGCTCATGAAAGGAAGGTGAACGCAAGCCGACGGTGGTGGTGGTAAGAAGGAGAGCATGGAGTTGCTGCGCTTGTTTCGGTGAGGTTATGGAGATGCAGAGCGCTGCGAAGATAGAGGTCACATACGACGGTAACACAGAAATTAGTTAACGGCTTCAAGCCTCTTAACCGCAAAAAAACGAGCGGTTCAGATTTTAAGTTGACTAAATTTAATATATCAAAACCGCCCATCCTCTTATTTTGAAAATTCAATAAATTGCAATAATACCAAAACGCAGCATTTTTGGGTCATCTGCGCGACAGTGAATTATATCAATGTGTAATGGATATCTCCATCCACAATTTTCAAACCCCTATATAGCCCGGCGTCTTCTCTCCTGCGCTGGATCGTCACACTGTGTTTGCTTGCGATTTCAGTTCGACGGCTCCGACTTGACCTGCAGTCCCAGACGGCCGGTGTTTCTCCGACAGTCAATCGTCAGATGAAATGGCAGGATCCAACGGAGAACAGAAGGCGCATTTTGTTCTAGTACACGGCGCAGGTCATGGGGCTTGGTGCTGGTACAAGATCAAACCGAAGCTCGAGTCCGGTGGTCACAGAGTCACGGCGCTGGACCTCGCAGCTTCGGGCATCAACATGAAGGCGATACAAGATGTTCACTCGCTGACTGAGTACTCTGAGCCTTTGTTAGAGTTGATAGAATCGCTCGGTCCGGAAGAAAAGGTGATCCTCGTAGGACATAGTCTCGGAGGCATGAACTTGTCCCTTGCCATGGAAAAGTTCCCACATAAAATTTCTGCCGCCGTTTTCGTGACTGCGTCTCTGCCCGACACAACTCACCAGCCGTCTTATATTATGGATCAGGTATCTGCATGTTCTTTAATCTATTAGAAATTTTAACAGCAAGCAAAGTTAATTTGAAAATTGTTTTGTTCCGTGTGAAAAGATAATGGAAAAGTTACCGGCAGACTCATGGTTGGACACTCGCTTTGAGAAATTTGGAAGCGCCGAACAACCCTTGACATCGATATTATTAGGTCCCAAGTTCTTACAAGAGAAGCTCTATCAACTCAGCCCGATCGAGGTATCTTGCTCTCACAAGCACACAAAGAGAACTGCAATTATATCATGAAAATCGATGTATTAGTATTTGTATTAAGCTTGTAGTCCATGTATTTATATATATTTCCTGAACTGATGTAACTACGTTGTGTGTGTTTAAAGGATCTGGAACTTGCCAAGAGTTTAGTAAGGAAGTGTTTCTTCTTTCGTGAAGAAACGGCTAAGATGAAGAAATTCTCGAATGAGGGATACGGGTCAGTTACACGAGTTTATGTGCTTTGCGACAAAGATTTGATAAAATCTGAGGAATTTCAACGACGGATGATTGCAAACAGCGGGGTTAAAAATGTGGTGGAGATTAAGGGTGCCGATCATATGCCAATGTTTTCGAAGCCTCAAGAACTATCCAATTCACTTATGGAGATTGCAAAAAAGTATGCTTAAAATATATCAGCGAGCCTACATTTTAGGCCACTTGTTAGGAGAATAAGTTTGGCCATCATGAATGTAAACGTCGTGTTACTCCGTGAATTTGCAGTTTGCACCATGTTAATCCTCGTAATGTTTAAATGTATTTCAGTCGCTTTTTCCTCCGACAGCAGGAAAGAGTTTGTATCAATTCTAAAACTGAACAAAAGGAATAAATGGTGTTGAATCCAAGTGGTGATGCTTCATGATTCTATAACTTACTTTGCAGTATCAAATCGGTTCATCAAATTCATCGGCTTGTGATCTTACCACGCTTCCGTGGATGCAGTGCAGTGGTTCAGCTACCTCTTGCTCTGATTTAGTCCCGTTTAGTCCAGGATCCTTTTTCGACTTCATTAATCTAACTATCCATTTTCCTACAGCATCATAGAGGTTCGACAAGATGTTAGTTGCATTATCTTGTGAGTCTAAATTTAAAACCCGCTCTGCTGCACGAGCTTAGTAATGCTCTCCACAATCCAAGATTATTTCCATTAAACTTCCTCTGCAGCATCCAAACAAACTAACCATGCAAGGGTAGTGCTTAGGCCCAGGTGTGATACCGTTAGCCTTCGTTCTTCAACCAAGCATGGTTTGCAAGCTCACTGCATAGATAAAATGTTACTTGGTCTGGTTTCAGACCATGCTTTTCTATCTCAGAAAATAGCTTCAAGCACTCAAAACTCCTGGAACATTACATAAACGAACTTGTCCCCGTCAGCCATTCTCGAAAAAACCCATGATCATCTCAGTCCAGAGAACAACATCCTTTTATAAGATGGAGTGAAACACTTTCCGATGGTTTCGTCATTCTTCATGTGCCCCAAACTCATAGAATTCGAAGCCACCAGCACATCATCTTCATTAAGCATCCCGCTCGCTAAAATTTTCTTCGTTGATTCCAAATCCCTGCAGGTACATCCCCAAGTAGAGTAGTCTGAAGACAAAAATCACTCAAGAATCCAAATTTAACAACTTGGGGATTGAATCAAATAGCCAAATCCTCAACTGTATAAAATTCCGGCAGCAGCCTAGTGAAGGGACGCGAGTGAGAGCCGACAGCGGTGGTGGTAAGGAGGAGAGCACGGAGTTGCCAGTGCTTGTTTTGGTGAGGTTATGGAGATGCAGAGCGCTGCTAAGATAGAGGTCTCATACGACGGTGGCATAGAATATTAGTTAACGGCTTCAAGCCTCTTACCCGCCAAAAAACGAGCGGTTCAGATTTTAAGTTGACTAAATTTAATATATTAAAACCGCCCATCCTCTTATTTTGGAAATTCAATAAATTGCAATAATACCAAAACGCAGCGTGTTTGGGTCATCTACGCGACAGTGAATATATGGATGTGTAATGGATGTCTACATCCCCAATTTTCAAAACCCTAGTCAGCCCGACGTCTCCTCTCCTGCGCTGGATCGTCGCACTGTGTTTGCTTGCGATTTCAGTTCGACGGCTCCGACTTGACCTGCCGTCCCGGACGGTCGGTGTTTCTCCGACAGTCAATCGTCAGTCCACCCCCTCGCTTTCTGTGCTCATTTCTCACTTCTTAGGTGGGTTTTCACTTGCTTGAGCTGAAATCTTAGAATTTAGTGCATTTGGGCAGATCGTAAACTTGGGTTTGCAGATTAAAGTTTAAAATTTCTTGAAGATTGAGAGGAGGGATTCATTTGGAGTTTTTGGAATCACAGAGTTGAGAATTTAGGGATTTATGGATTGGTAGTCAATTGCTGGATGTGTGGTAGGATCCTTGCTCTTTCTTTAGGTCACTGGATCCCAAGGGATTAATCATAAATGTGGTTTTCTAGTTGTGTTTATGTATTTATTTTTAATGATCACGGATTGTGGTACAATTTCATTCTTCGTTTTTGTCTATAATTGTGTTCGGTTGTATTTTGAAAAGGGTTGAGTTATTGGGCATGAGTTCTAGACAGAAATTTCCGTGTTGTTTAATTGATTTTTTTTTTTTTTTAATAGAAATTGCTTTGCCTTAAACAATCAAACGTTGAAAGTTCAATGCTGCCTAGTTTGCATCTGCGAAATGCTCACTTGTTATATCATTAATATGTCCTATAGAAATATCTTTTGAAATTATTACTACAGGGTGGTTAGTTTTAGTGCTGTTTTTCCTTTCAAATTTTTTTAGTAGCTTCAGTTTTGACGGTTAATATGTTGTAGGCATGTAACAGACCAAGTAATATTCGTTTAAGTGGCTCAATGATCATGGAGGCATGCAACTGTATTGAGCCACAATGGCCGGCAGATGAATTGCTGATGAAATATCAGTACATTTCGGATTTCTTTATTGCGCTTGCTTATTTCTCCATCCCTCTGGAGTTGATCTACTTTGTCAAGAAATCTGCAGTGTTTCCATATAGATGGGTCCTCGTACAGTTTGGTGCTTTCATAGTACTGTGTGGGGCGACTCATCTTATCAACTTATGGACGTTCAACATGCATTCAAGAACTGTGGCCATAGTAATGACCACAGCTAAGGTTTTAACTGCGGTGGTGTCATGTGCAACTGCCCTTATGCTTGTACATATTATACCTGATTTATTGAGTGTTAAAACTAGAGAACTATTCTTGAAGAACAAGGCTGCAGAGCTTGATAGAGAAATGGGTCTTATTCGAACACAGGAGGAAACAGGTCGACATGTCAGGATGTTGACCCATGAAATCAGAAGCACTCTTGATAGACATACTATACTTAAAACTACACTTGTCGAGTTAGGTAGAACTCTGGCATTGGAAGAGTGTGCCTTGTGGATGCCGACGCGTACTGGGTTAGAGCTTCAACTATCCTATACACTCCATCAGCAGAATCCAGTAGGATATACTGTGCCCATTCATCTTCCTGTGGTCAATCAAGTATTTAGTAGCAACTGTGCAGTAAAAATATCACCTAATTCTCCAGTGGCACGACTGAGGCAACTTGCAGGAAAGCACATTCCTGGGGAAGTTGTTGCAGTTCGTGTGCCCCTTTTACATCTCTCTAACTTCCAAATTAATGACTGGCCAGAGCTCTCAACAAAACGCTATGCTTTGATGGTCTTGATGCTTCCCTCAGACAGTGCAAGGCAATGGCATGTTCACGAGTTAGAATTGGTTGAAGTAGTTGCTGATCAGGTAAAAAACCACAACCTGTTATCTTTTTAAGTACAATCTTTATGAAAATGGTAATAAATCTCTCCACATCCAAATCCCTAAACGGAATTTTAAAATACAGTTTTTTTCTGTTGCTCTGCCTCTGATCCACATTTGAAGATGTTTAAGTACCTATGATGTCACATGAAAAAATGTTTGTTTATGGAAAGGTTCATTCTTTTGTCGATGTTTTATGTTCTATCTAATAACCTATTATATTGTATTTGATTGATCCTCGGAGTTGAAATGTATTTTTTTCTGAATGCTGTATTACTTGGCATATAGAAAGGGTAAGTTAAACAGAAAAATATCTTATCAAAGAGAGAAAAATAAAAGGGTAATTTCCACTTCCCTACCTTAAGTTTCGCAAAAATCGCACATTACTACACTTACTTTTTTTTCGTCACACTTTGATATCTAAAGTTTGACTTTTCTGCCACTTTCATACTTCTGTTAGTCATTCTGTTAACTGATGATGGGGCATGGTAAAAAGCACACCAAATTTGCCACGTGGAGTGACAAATTGAATAAATATTAAAATTTAATCCGTTGATAAAAGTTAAAAAAAAAAAAAAAAAAAAAATCTCTTCCTTCTGTCCCCCTTCCTCTGTTCGACTCCTACCACAGACAACGCCACCCCACCATTGCACCCATACCTCCATTCTTCCCAATCTTCACATAACCCTTCTTCTTTCTGGATTTCTCTCTGTAAATTCTCCTTCTCACTAGATTGTAGCTGAAGAGCCCAATATTTTCTTCCCCTTTTATCCCCAGAGGCTCAAATTTTTAGATATGAATCTGGATGGTTTTGACTGGTTGTTGCAGTTCTCAGTCCCAGGGATTGCCTCATAAACTCACTTATGCCAAGTTGTAATGAATTTCAGTTGGAACCAAGTGTAGACCAAACTCGCAGACCCGAATCAAGCATCTAGGGTCATCATCGTGCATAGCCTTACCGGGGATTTCCTTGGCCGTAAAAGCAGTTGCTGGTAAAGCAGATGTAATGGGAGCTAAAAACTTCACAGATCTGACAAATAAAGCGTGTCGGGCATGTTTCTTGGGCCAGGAGATGTCGTGGGTTGCAACTTGGGTTAAATTGGATTTGTGGTCAGCCATTGTGCATTGTGAACTGGCTTGGCTTTAACACTCTTCGCAGATAACACAACCACCAGTCGCAGATGGCCTCGGCAGGAGTAACTGAGAAAGTGGAGAGTGAGGGCTTGGAGGAGAGTGAGAGAGAGAGGGAGGGATTTCAAAGAAATGGAGTGGGGCTGGAGTCGGAGACATTTTTTCATATCTTTTTATAATTAATTAATATTTAATTAATTTGAACTGCACTTAGCACATTTTTGGTAGGCCACAACTGCCTCGTCATCAGTTAATGAATGAGTTAAAAGAATGACTAACAAAAGTATGAAAGTGGCAGAAAAATCAAACTTTAGGTATGAAAGTGAGACGAAAAAAAAAGAAGTGTAGTAAAGTGCGATTTTTGCAAAACTTAAGGGCACTAAAATAACAAGAGCAGATTGCCTATCTAAAGATGTTCTTTACCTGTTTCTTGCTTTCTGTAATAATATACCATGCTTATAAATTATAATGTAAAGAAGCGTTCATTTACTTGTTCTTGTTGTTGATTTGTGTAAACAGGTTGCAGTTGCTCTGTCACATGCTGCAATATTAGAAGAGTCAATGAGGGCAAGGGATCTCCTTATGGAGCAGAATATTGCGCTTGATCTGGCCAGTAGAGAAGCGGAAACTGCAATTCGTGCTCGCAATGATTTCTTGGCTGTTATGAACCATGAGATGAGAACTCCCATGCATGCAATTATTGCTCTTTCTTCTTTGCTGCAGGAAACTGATCTGACACCTGAGCAGCGCCTCATGGTTGAAACGATATTAAAGAGCAGCAACCTATTGGCTACCCTTATAAATGATGTTTTGGATCTTTCAAGGCTCGAAGATGGCAGCCTTCAACTTGACATAGCAAATTTTAACCTCCATTCCATATTCAGAGAGGTATGGTTTTGTGTTCTGGCCACTTAAAGAA